GTATAGATCACACAATAATTAGGACATATAGGAACGTAACCTCAAATACAATGTAGCTGATTGAACTCAAATGCCATATTTCTTTTCAGATAAGCACGTTAACCATTAATTATTTTATTGCACAATGTTGAAGTGAAGGTCATATGACCTGCTGGTCTTTTTGTACTGGTTTAAGGAAATTTCAAGTTAGTTAATTTTGTTTCAGTGAAGCTGGTTACCTTTTAGCAGTCAGGCATGGCTGAGACATGTCTCATCCTTCTAATGAACAATGTGCTAAGGGACACAGTACACAGGCTCAGTGAGGGAGATCTTGGAGCTTTGACTCCTCTGTCTCTGAAGGTGCTCCACCATGATATGGGCACAGTGAGCCCTAGTAGGGCCATCTTGGAAACTAAGATTGTTACACATGGTTGACAGTGCTGTGACAGATGTGAAAGTCTGTCGTGTTGGTCAGGGTGACTCCTTCCTAGATTGTGTGACTGCCGCATACTTAGCTGAAGCATATGAAATGGTTCCTGGGTGAACAGTGGCAAACACTACAACTATCAGAGAACTAATATGTGGCCACTGTTATACTCTCCAGTGCTGTTGCTATACACACCATTTTATTCTTGTCTAGCAATATCCACTGTCCATAAGCAGCCAAATATAAGGTCCTCTGGCCAGTAGCTGAGCAACAAACAGGTGATATCGAACTGCTTGGGCATTATGCATCACTTTTACCTTTATGGTTAAGGAATATAGCCTCACCAGTGAATTCATTTCTGTCCTGTTGGTCTAGTCAGACAATACAAAGACAGTGATGTATAAGCTATTTGACAAAGTCATGGATTTTTGTCCTTATAAAAATAAAATTCACAGAATTAAAAACAATACTGATTATAGTTTTTATCTTTTCTGCAATTTGTGAATATTAATGGGTAAAGGCAGACATTTTTACATAATGCACCTTGCATGTGGCATGAGTATGCTACAGATGGGAAATGCAAATTTTTGTAATTAGGATCACTATACAAATGCTAAACTTTGCTTAACAAAGTATCA